ATGTCGGAGACACGCTAGCTTTCCCAAGGCAGACGAACTTAGAGTGTTTACAATCATCCGGGTTTAAATCGCGCTCAAATTGATTTGATATTGACGCAATATTTACACTGAAGCTGGCAGGCAGCTATGGTAAGGGGAATGTCATTTCCCGACCAGGCGGCGAGTGCTGCCAATCACAACACACACTTGCCCAGCTAACCAATCACAGCACATGTCGTATTTCAGAAGGCGGGCCTTCATTTCATACAGGAACTATTCGAGCCGTTCATGCCAGACTGGGGAGAGAGGTGTTTTAATAATATAAAATATGTGAAAAATAATGTGTTTTTCGAACAACCTACACTGCAAAAACAGATGTGTCAGAAACAACACACATGGTTGTGTTGACAGCATTCTGACACATGTTGTGTAGGATTTTAACACACAATGAGTAATAAAAAAAAAAAGCCTTTGGACAGATTAACACAATAAATGTGTTACCTCCTGGGCCGGCAGTTTGTGTTTATGGAAATAAGTACAATACATATATTTCATGTGGTAGCAGATAAAAAGCTCTAAAATGACTAAAAACCATTAATAAAATAAATATACAATATATACATCTCAATTTATTAAACTTAAAATATTAACGGCTATTTTTTTGTCGGCCAATCACGTCGTGCCTCTTGCCTTTTTAAACTGCGGCGGATCCCGCTCTTTTCACTCTGGCTGGTCTGGTTTGAGGGGAATCACTATGCTGTCGGACTCAGATCTATCCGTAAGTTACAGCAGATACTCTTAAAAATGCATAGTGCTGCAAAAATCGACCATGGAAATAGTTAGCTACCAAACAGTTAATTAGTTGGAAAGTGGCGACGTGCACTCGTGAAAAGTGTTAGCGAGGCAGAAGCATAACTGGATGCGGGTGACACGGCGTGAATGTTGTTTCTTCTCTTCGCATTACTCTACGGTATGAGTAACACTGAGCCTTATTTTCAAGAATTTGCGGATGTTGACAGAAGTGAAGAATTTTGACCGATTTCAAGTCTTCACGTCAAACACAGGAGCCCTACACCAAACGAATGCTGGAGAGGTAATCCAGGTATTTTGTTTTTGTTCTCATCCCTCTGCTATATGTGATTATTATGTGCATAATAGCGTTTAAAAGGTAAAATTCACGGCCATCATGTCATGTAATGTAGCATGTTCCAGTGCCAAATGAACAGGGAGGCCTGCACTCTCTACTTCAAAGCAAAGCAGCAGTGCTACCTGAGGAACACAGGAAAGCAGGATCATTTAAAGTCCAGGAGACTGCTTGTCAAAGTTTGTGTCAGTCACTTGGTGGAGAAGGGTGAATTGTAAGTATATAAATTCAAAAAAATATTCGACCACACTGAATTTTACATTTTCAATCATCCAAGGTGTAGTTGATGTTGGTAACACTTTTTAATGTATACTGTATTGTAGCTAATAGTTGTAGTTTATTACAAGGCATTTGTGTCATCTAATCTAAATTAAATGTATGAAATTGAGATTTAGAACATTTTGTTGTGCCTCTGCATGCATTGTTCTCTACCCTGACAACATTTTTGACAAATTAAATTGCTAACATTTTTATATCTGACTGTTTTATTTCAATTTTGTAGAATTACAAATTGATGGCCATGCTTATTATTTTTGTCATATTAACATTAATTAGCAGTTTCTGATCAGTTTCAGTTGTGTGTTAAATTACATTACACAGTAGATGTGTGATCCATCTTAACACACAAATTGTGTTAAATTTGACACAACATGTGTTGTCCCTGAGCACACTCACCACATGTGTTAAAATTCTGCACAATGTGTCATTTTTAACACGTCTCTTTTTGCAGTGTAGTATGAGAGCCTGTTCTAGAACCCGCCCCCCCCCAAAAACAAAATCAAGACTTTGTAAAAGAGCATAATAGGACACCTTTAAAACAGTGTTGTTGTTTTATTACCATACATCATAAGTATTGTTAATCAGTCCATCTGCAGATAAAGTTTCCACAGCATTTTTGGCACAGCAGTCATGACAATCAATCGTTAAGGTTGGTTTCTGAAAAAAAAGCAATATTGGCTCTTCAGTGCTCAGGAATTACATACCTGTCTCTTATTTCCCTTTTTCTTTTTTCTTTTTTTGTCCATACAGAACCCTACAGAGCAATTAGCTTAAGACATTCAATTCTGGTTCTAGGGCCAAACTCCCAAAAGAATCAAGCAGAAATTACTCTTTTCTAACAGTTTTATTTAATCTGCAAGTTAATAAGGACTTAGAAAACCTGCCAGTTGTAGCTCTCTAGACCTTCAGCGCTGCATTTGACAGACAATCACAAGATTGATGATTACAGAACTACCTAAACTGGTTTAGGTCCTACCTAAGTATTGCTGGGTTCAAATACCTCTACATGTCTTGTGGTGCCCCAAGGCTTGATATAGGCCTAACATTCATTAAAACTATGCTGCTTATGACACCTTACTTGTCCCTTGCACTTAATTCTCTTCTGTCCTTAATTGTTTTACTACCATTCTATATTTTGCATTGTAAACACTTACATAAACTCCATTAGTTATGCCCATATTAAATAATCTTTGGTCCGTCTTGTCCTCGTCCCTCTGTTATTGCTCCAGAGAGGTAACGTTAGGTGGCAGTGTTTGCACCATTCGAGTGAATCGCAACCAACACATTTCAGAAGAAGAAATCCAGGGGTCCTATCGATATTTACAAATTGATCAAGGAGCGCTTCTTGACGGACATTTGGGTGATTATTATAACTGTTTGTATTATTTTGTCGTGTAAGAGCAATTATAGAGTATTATTTTGTAGTCGTTTTATTTGTTATAGGTGTAAAGTAATGAAATAATCAACAGTGCCAAAGTTAATCAAACCATTTGGCGAAGTTACTGGTAACGTTAGTTATTTATCAGCGTGCGACACGTTTCTTGCTCGTGTTTACATCTGCGCCTTCACGACAAATGTAATTGCTTTGGGCAGTTTTAGCGTTTGAAGATGCTTTTGACAAATATTATATTTAGCTATGGATTAGCTCTGCCGCTAACTGTACCAAGGAGGTTGGGTACGGCCATATTTTGATGGTTTATTATTCTAAACCATTGCAAGACACATGCAAGATATATTTCATGTTAAGGTGCAAATTTAACAAAATAGTAATGCCCATTTAGTCAATCCTAGAAAGTTTTAAAGACCACAAAACCTAAGAACATTCCTCAAACCTGTCACATAAAAACCTCAAACCTGTCATGGGTTGGGCCATGACTTTGAAAGCAGGGAGATCCTGTCTTTTTTAAGTTAAGATTATCCAAACTTAGTATTTTTCACATGAATTTAGCTTGAGATGGGACTATGCAATTAGCACTTCTTGTCTGATAGATTTACTATTTTACAACAATTGGAAAGCTGTACTTTATGTACCATTTAAAATTGTGATATTAGGCCACTGTTGTAAATAGCTGCAAACTGTAATCTTGTGACGTGTTAATTGTGATATCTACAAACCAGCATATATTGGCCTTTTAATATTATATCGACATTGATTAATAAGCAATGTTTAGTTAACATAAGCTTTAACGTTGTGTGTCAGTTCCTTAAACTCTACCAGCTATGTGAATTGATAATCATAAATGAAATAATTTAGTTTCAAATGCTTTTGTGAATTGTGAATCTATTAATTAATTTGCAGTTAATGCATACAGCCAATGCACCTCTTCTATGCATGAACATGGTTTTAATTTCCGAATTAAAATTAATTTCACTGTGTATATTTTATGCTATGGTGATGCAGAAATCCGGGTATCACAATGATGAAAAAAATTCTCATTAACAGAATGAAATTCTTGCAAACCTTATTAAGGTGTTTGGCATCACACTTGTCCACCAAATCAAAGTAATGTTGTGCAACAAACATAAAGAAATATATAGAAAAATAAAATTAGGTAATTATATCTTAAGTTTGACCCCTCTTTAGCGTACATTTAAAGACAGTACTTATTACAGAAGTAATATGCTTCAAAAGAATATTGCAGTTAAGTGTCTGAAAACATTACTTTTAGGTTGCATGTTAACTGCAATTAATAAAAATGGTTGATAACTTAAATTTATATTAAATGCAGCTAGCTTAACTTTTGAGGGCTTTTTTGACTACCCCTAAGTTGGACTTAAGTACATCTTTATATTTTTTATGTTGCATAATTATTTCTGTGTTCTTTGAAATATGATTAAAGTTTACTGCTGAATGTAATGACAAGCATTTATGGTAAACTAAAATATATTCAATGTAATTTCTATTGAAACTAGTATGTCATGTTTTTACATAAATGTATAATTACACATGTAATGATGTTGTAATTTAGTACATTTAAAAAATATTAACTTTAAATTAGGGCTGCACGATTAATCGCATGCGATATTTAAC